CCTCCCTCCTCCCTCCTCCCTCCCACCCTCCTGAATGCATTCAGGGCAAGATCACTTGAGGACATATATCCTTTGTCTCCCTATGAGAGCCGCCCTCCCTGCCCCCCACCTCATGTAATTGTCAGCAACAAAGTTGGAAAATAAGGCATGTGAAGCAGCTCTCAGCACTGCAACATCTGCACCAGACAAAACTCGAAAAGCCCTCAATCCCCAGTCATGAATGCACTATAAAAACAATGTGGCAGAAATGAAAATTGTTCCATCATAATATTTCACGGTTCTTTTTGACAAAAGCCAAGCCGCCCTCATGAATACACATTTCCCAGCATCTTATGCATTATGCATCAGCCTATAGCAGGGGACCTGGGAATTGCCAGGCCCTAGTAAAGGGCCTTTGAAAGTGCCTATTTTGTAAACAAATGGAGCCCAGACCCCGCACTCAGGCTCTTTAGGTAATTTAAGACCAACGCTGGCTGCCCGAGTGGGGACCAGCTCTTCTTAGGGCCGTAGATGGCAGGTGTCTCCAGCGTTCTCTGGATGGGGAGGGGTGCTTCAGCGTTCGGTAGTCTCATCTTTAATTTCCGAGTGTCCAGCATGGCCATCCAGAGGGGCAGGGACAGTTCCTCCCCGAGCCAGAGCCAGGTGTCGCTGGAATGCCAAACGAGCCCACCAAGGCTGGCTGGGCAGTCAGGCAAATTAGTCAGGACTTCTGACTCCCAAGAGCCTCCACGGGATCAAGCCCTGTGATGGTGGTGCTGGGTGGAGGGGACAAGGAGGTCTGAGCACACAGAGGCTGGCCTGTCTCAGTGGGCTTGCAGGAAGCATCTCTCTTTGCCCCAAGTAGGCAAGCTGGAAGTAGGTATTAAGCGTGTGTTACTGTCAGTGGGAAGTCCCTTGAAGATTATTAACTAACCCCTGCGGTTCAAGGAAGGGGAGACTGAGGCCAGGTATTTTAAGTGACATGTTCAAGGTCACACTGGTTAGTGAGCAGTAGTTCTGGGACTGCTGGAAGCCGGTTGTCTTTTCCCAGCACCTCCCACTGCTTCAATCATGAATTGGCAGCAACTGAAAGGACCAGGGGTAAAATGGTTACTGATTGCTGTGATTTAAGCAAAGGGCAGACGGGGATCCTTACAACAGCCCTGGAAGAGAGCATAATTCAGGGCTGTTTTGTGTCATTTGCAATCTGTCCTCTATGGTAGCCTATTTGAAATGGTGAGTGATGCATGATAGATATCTACTCATTACGTTATATGTGTCACAATAACAAGGTGGTGATTGATTCATTGCTACGTGTATTTATTTCATAAGAATATTCAGCTCCCATTAGGGGGTGCTGCAGATGGCTTTGAATTGAGGGACAGGAATTCTGAACTCCAGTGTTGGTAGGCCCTATTCTTCCCTTCTGTGGACCTCAGATTCGTTCTTGTAAAAAGCGGGGCTCCAGAGGGATGGTCTTTGGGTTGCATCCCAGCTGAGATCTCCCACCTGCTAGTGTGTGAGTACGGGCACCATGCAGAGGCCTCGATGAAATCAGGGGGCAGAAGGGCCCACCTCATGCTGGGCTCCACCATGAGGGTTTGTGGGTGGGCTGGGGGGGGGGGGTGCGGGATTGACCTCAGTTAGGGAAGTTCCTCATTACTGCACCTGCTGCTCTACAGCTGTTGGACCCACTTGCTGATTGGTGCAGTTTGACTAATGAGAGCAGGGACAGCTGAAGGCTGATAGAGACAATGAGGCGACATTACCCCTCACAGACACCTGGCAGAATCAGCTTAGGAGATGGCCGCTTCCCCTCCTCTGCTGACCCGGGGAATACACTGATGGGGGAGGTGGCTGGAAGGGGGAAGTCAGGATCATCATGCCACCTCCAAAACTGAGAGCCCACCTGTGACGCTCTAAGCCTAGTATAAGCAATGTTCAAACTGCTGGGCATTTTTGTTGTTGTTGTTGTGAAAACACTCCCCATCTGGAGTTTCTGATTCAGTAGAGATGTGTGCAGATGGGGTGGGGGAAGTTTCGTGTCTCAGAATTCCCAGGTGACACTGCTGGTCCAGGAGCCACACTTTGAGCACCACTGATACAGGAAAAAAAAAAAAAAAAAAAGAATATCTACATATCCTGCATTTCCATTTCTCAGCATCTTCAAACTACTCAAAACTGCTCCCAAGTCTTTGTAAAAATAAATAATTTCAGTTTCTACAACTGGCACAGGAGTAGGAAGTGTCCTCGAGTAACATAAATAGTTATTTATTTGGCTCCAGACTAAGAAATAATTTCCCCTGAATTATGAAAGGAAAATATTCAAATTGAAAGCCTTAGAAATTCAGAAGAGCATAAAAATGAAAATGAATGGAAATGCCTCACAGAAGGATAGCAGCTGTTGACATGCTACCTTCTTTTAATTTTTGGCCAGTGAATATGTGTCTGTAGGTCTTTCTACTGGTCTTGTGCAGTTTTCCTAAGTTGGGATCCTTGGGATGTTAAATACTGTTACGATCAAAGTAACAAAAACAATAAAACCAGAAATAACAGCGGTAACACAGAAGATATATTTTAGAGGCAGATCTGAGATCAAGATCTTTGGCAAATGCTGTGGTAACCAAAATTTAAAAGTTGAATAGGT